TGTGCTATCTTGGGTTTAAGCTAGCATAATTTTCAATAAAAAAAATATTCATATAAATTCTCAAAAATCACAAATAGTGCACAAAAATTGCATAAAATTATAAATAAAGGTATGCATTGCTTGTGCTAATTTGTTACTGCTATGAAACCATAAGGTTGTATAGGTATGTTTTTTAAAATTCTAAATAAAATAAGATCATTAATACTTACAGCCAAGCCTTGTGTTTTAATATGATCAAGAACTGTATCAACTAACACAACCATTGCATTTTGAACACTTTTAAGTAAGTCGTACATATTAGAGAGATCTTTTTTCCTTTCATTTTGTACCATACCATTACATTCACTGTACAAAAATTGTAAATGTTCTGCTACCATGTGTGTTTCACACCTGTGAGATACCTAAAAACAAGAAATAAAACTCTTTAAACTGTAGATTTATTTTGTTTTGGTAAAATATTGATTACATTTTTTTTTGTAAGCATAATTACTTACTTTTGGAAAAGAACTGTAATGTAAAAACCGCCTGGCTCTGAATAACTCTTCTTCAATTTTTGCCTTTACTTTTTCCATGTACAAACTAACATCTTTTTCCTGTAAAAGTCTAGCAGCATCTCTTTTGAAATGCTCTCCACTGGCATCTAAAAATGGTTCTTCAAACAGTTCTTGGTACAACTGTAACTGTCCTTTCTTTCTATAACCCTGAACCTGTTAAGAGCAATTGATGTAGATCTTTCTTAATAAAAGACAATATCAAAGTTGGGATAAAGTGAATTACCTCAACAAAACTAATAATGGTGCCACGAACAGCTTCAATGGGTATGGTTAAAGGTTGCTGGGACCTGTCTTGATCTATAGCTTCTAATAACAGCTTAACCAATCTTTGGCCCAATGGTGCAATCATACCACTTTGCCATACCTCCAAGGCCAGTTCACCAATTTCCATCTGTTCACCTAATTTTTGTTAGAGAGAAAAAATATGTCACTAAAACAATAATTTTAAATACGGGAGCTATATTATTTTTATATTTTAGAATGATCAATTCAGTTATACAGCATTGCACTTACCACCTGTAATATCTGAACTGCCATAAATAATTTCGGCATCAGATAATTTCTGAGTCTTAATGTGTTGCTGATTCAAGTAAAGATACAAACTGTGTAGATATTGACTACCAACTGAGTACTGAGACCAATAGTGAAAATAGTTTTTGACCAGATTTTGCTCTCCATCTTCTTGGACTTTGTTTAGTAATTTTGCCACATGGTCTATCAGATATTGCTTGGTTTCTGCATACAGTCTGTCTGCCATTGGCTCAGGGTGAGCCACACAAATTGAATATACATCACTGAAAACAATAAAAATGGTTTGAAGAGATGTGAAAGTTTAATTTAGGCAATATAGAGAAGATACTGTAATGTGTGTCTTATTTTAAATGGGAATTAAAATAACAAGTAATACCAATGTAATTTGAACAAGCTGTTCCAGATGATGTTTTTTAAATACCTAAGTACCTATTAAAACCTTTAAAGAAATCAAAAACAGGAAATTGCCAAATTGCAATTTATGTTGAGGCCCTTTTATTCTTATTACAATTATTGAAAATCAAATTTAAAAAGGTTGGGGTCCCATAAATTAAAAACTATATTGTTGATATTATTGAGCTTAATATTTCCGTTTTCAGTATGTATTATCCTAAGATTATTTCTATAAAACACCTAATAGTTTTGAAAATGTTTGTTTCATTATTATCACAATTAAAATAATTTAAGTAGTTACATAGGTACCTTTAAATCTTTAAACAATATAAGTACTTAAAAAAAAAACTTTCATGAAAAAATCAATGACAGAATGGTTTGTTTTTATTTGCACACTGACTCTACATTAATTCTAAGAATTAGTATAGGTATAATAAATTTACACTGAATGTTAATAATTTAGTCTTTTTAATATTTGACTGATTAAAAATGTTGAAGTATATTTTAAAATAAAATGAAAAACAAATAAAAAAAAATGACTTTATAGGAATAGGTAACAATGCAAATGGACTTCTCTGGCAGTACACAACTCTTTTGTTAACATTTTCTATCACAGCTGAACACATTTCTGGTGGAGTGTCGAATCTCATTTTATAATCCTTGAATAGTTTGAGGATTGTTTACATATGCTTTACTTTTGATGTAACCCAACAAAAAAAATCTAGCAGCATTAAGTCGCAGGATCTAAACGGTCAATTAACATCCCCATTTCTTGAACAAAGTCTATCTTGAAACTGACTTTGCAATAAGTTCAATGTTTCTCTTGTTGTGTGAGATGTTGCACCATATTATTGAAATCATTTATTGTCAAGATCAATTTTCATTATTACAGGCAACACAGTCTCAAAACATCCTGAGGATAGGCTCACGTGAAGGTAACAACCAGAAATGTGCTCAGCTTTGATTGAAAATTTTGGCAAATTAGTTGTGTCCTGCCATTTGCTCAATATTGTGTTTCACAAATAATTGTAAAGGATTAGGTATGTTACCTATTGCTATAAAGTCTTAAATTTTTTCTTATTTGGTTTTCATTCTATTTAATAAAGACATCCGGAACCTCTTATTGGAAAACCCATTATTGACTAGATAGGTAAGCTTATTCTTATAAATACAAAAACAGAGCCACGGCAAATAATAATAATGGCCATCCCTTCCCTACCCAAGTTGCTCAGTTAGCTTCATTGGTTGAAATTCACTCGGAAGAAGAGGTAAATTAGGGAGAGTATATTTTTTTTAATTTGGTGCCATCGGCATCAACTGCTAAGGTTATTAGCCTCGTGTTCTGTGTAGGCTTTGTTACTGTTTCCCAGCGCCACTTTAGGAACAGCACTGTTAATTAGAACCCAACAGTGAATGGTCGAGTGGGGAATCCTACCAAGACATCAGAATTAATTTTAAATAATTAATTAAATGAAAAAATCCCGGCCAATGGTGGGCTTTGAACCTGGGACCCTTGGATCCACAGGCAGAGACTCTACCACTGAGCCACCCACCCCCCAGGGAGAGTATTACTATTATTATTAATAGTGGTAAGGGAATATTTAGATTAGCAATTCTCAATAAGAAAACTGTATATGCATAGTTTTAATCACAACCATGGTAATTATGGAAAAAAATTTCATTTAAATACTAATTATGTATGCTAATTCCAAACTAATTAATTAGTTAAATACACGGCAATATTTCTTCACGTTTATAATCAACTAGATTTGTTTTAAAGGCACATCCTCAATTTCATCAAAAAAACAATATCATTGTGAGAAAGTAAATGAAAAAATTACAAAGACACTTACGAAAATCTATCATTCCACACAGTTCTTGCAACGTGATCTAGAGTAATGACTCCTTTGATAGTTTCTCTGATAGCACCCCAAGTGGCGTTGAAATCTACTCTTCTTGGTTTTAAAGACATGGTAGTACCATAAAACCACTTTATGCTGATGTCACTGTTTGACAACAATCCAAAAAGTAACAAGACAAAAATAAAAATCTAAAAATAAATGAAGACGCAGTAAGTTCAATTATAGTTTAGAATTTGTTGATGCTGTGTGTAATAATTTGTGATGTTGTCCTCGACCGAAATATATTAGATTCTAGATACTTCAGATTTCTGCTTGCAATTTTGTTGATTATTTTTTTAATACGAATTTAGTATAAAAGTATTGATTACTCAATATATCCTTATTTTAAGGTAGATACTCTTAATTTTAATCACAATTGAGTGAAAATTATTTTAGAAAATTTTCTCAACTTACAAGTCTTTCACTTTTCTTTTTGACGTTTCGTCTTCTTCTTTTTTTAAATGTATTTTCAAAATAAACAGTTCGTATTCAGTCAGGTTTATGGGCCACTAGTCAGGTCCGTATTTATAAACAGAACTCAGCCGAGTCGGACTTGGGTAAGTCCATGGTAAGTCGTCCTCATATATAGTCTTTTCCTTTGCATCGACTTTTGCTGCGTTTGAGAATCCACATCGGATGCATCTGAGATGTAAAAAATCTTTGATCACGTGATTCAGTATACGTAAATGTAATGGGACAGATGTGTCCGATGTGGATAAAAAAACGCTCGAGATGTAAAAAATACATCCGATGTGGACTCTCAAACGCAGCAAGTGTAGCACTGAGCTACGGTACTTCTGAAAATGTCGTTCCATCCATACAATTTGCATAAATGGAACGATATTTTCAGAAGTGGTGCAGCTCAGTGCTACACTTTCGATGCAAAGGAAAAGACCTATCGATTACTAATGTGAAGTCGTCCTTGAACTAAAACTAGTTCGGTTCAACGTCCCTACAGTTCCAGGTGTTTTCGGTGTTAAACTGGAATTTTAGAGATTAATTTTAGCAAATCGGTAACTGAAAAGTACATTTACGGATTTGTTACTACCCATCTCTAAATTCACGCGATATAACCCGGGGGTCGATTCTCGACTCGTAGGAATATTTTCCTATAAGAATTTTTGACATTTTTATATACATCGAAAATTTATGACAGTTTCCTACATATAGGAAAGTGTCACAAATTCCTATAGGAAAAGGTTCCGACAAGTCGAGAATCGACCCCCTGAGTGGAGTAAGTAGGCGTAAACGGAGTGCCAATATCACATACGTAAAAGAAAATCAAAGTATGTGGCCAATATGGTTTTACTCCTTTTACTCTCGGTGTTCAATGTCAGTTGTCAATGTGACATACTAATGCTTAAAACCTATTCATACTTATCAGTAAAAAGCGTATAAATTTTTTCCATATTAATAGGATGCACGAGAATCAAATAAAAAGCATTTTTACCTAAGCATTAGTCACACTTATCTTATTATCGATTTAAATCACCTTATGCGCATGCCCGATCCACACTCCACTCCACGATCTCCGAACGGTCAAAGAGGAACTTTTATTTTAACTCCTTCCGTACCCGAACGCCTTAGGTACTTTAGGAGTGAATATAGTGAAAAGAGTGCGTAGACCGAACTCACCAAAAGTATGTGGTTCAAGCACTTAAGGACGACTCACCCAAATCCGACTCAGCTGAGTTCTGTCAAAATAATTCTAAACGATGTTGTTTAATAATTTGGAAGTTTTTATTTGATATTTAGATCACGTTTATTGTTTTATATTTCCGTTTAAAAACAACTATAGAGTTGGTGATTTTTTTATTCACTACACGGTGAACTATTAACAGATCACTTAATGAAAGAGAAGAATACGTCATTCTCGACATATGTCATTGTCGCATCGATCGTTTTTTTGCTTTTCTTTCTCTTGTCATTTTGATTTTGTATTGGCATACACGTTTCGTGTCTCAAGACTTAAAAAGTGAGTAAAATCTGTTTATATTACAAAAATATTACCAAAAACCATTTCTTTAATTTCATATAGATTTATTTAAATATAATTTGCTGATTTATCACAAATATTTACGTTGATTTTTTCGGATTGCTTTTACCAATCATGTAACATCATTAAATCTTACTTCCTTATACAAACTTTTATTTTCTTTTTTAAGATGCGTTACGTGGCTGCTTACTTATTGGCCGTTTTGGGCGGAAAAGCCTCTCCAAATGCCGCTGATCTTGAAAAAATTCTTGGTTCAGTAGGAGTTGAAGCTGAGGGTGAAAAACTTAAAAAAGTCATCGGCGAACTCAATGGAAAGTCCGTTGAAGAACTTATCACTAAAGGTAAGTAATTTTACACAAAATAAGCTAAGGTTTATTTTCAGATAATAGATTAAGCCTTTTTTTTGTAAAATAGGTATTAGCTTTTGCAATCTGTAAAGTAGGTTGTGTGTAAGGGAATTCAAATTATTAAAATTCTCCGGGAAAAGCTCATTGTTTAAAGGTAACTTTAGCCCATTTACCTACCAGTAAACATGCATTCAAATTAAATGTGGTTCATTAAGATTCAATTTTAATGTAGCTAAAACATTGGAGTAATTATTTAGCATCATGTTTAGAAAAGTTGTGAAAATTTAACCTTAAAATTAATACAGTTAAAAAACAGATTCATTGAGCAAATCATGATGATCTACAATTTATACCATCTTTCGTATGAAACTATGATTTTAAATTCTGTCTGAAACAATGTTTTAATTTTTATACTTCTTATATTTTCAACTGTTTGATTCTTATGTAAATTATAAAAAATTTTAGGTCGTGAAAAATTGAGTTCCATGCCCGTTGGTGGAGGTGCACCTGCAGCTGCTGTTGCTTCAGCTGCCCCAGCTGCTGCCGCAGAGCAGAAGAAAGGTTTGTTATTTTTTTATAGCATAATGTCTTTTCAATGCTATTTAGCAAATATTCACTTTATTTTTAAACAGTCATTACTTAAATTTTTAAATTGTTGATGAATTTACTTTTATTTCAATATACAATGTTTATTTTGATGTGATGATTCACAATATACACCATCTTTCGGCTGATTAAAGCATTGATGATCACTTTTTACCTGATACCATTTGATATATTCCAAAAATATGATTGTTGAAAGAAGTTATTTAAGTTTTTTTTTTTTTTTTTTTTACAGAAGCCAAGGTAGAAGAAAAGAAAGATGAATCAGAATCAGAGGATGATGATATGGGCTTTGGTCTTTTCGACTAAAAATATCATTATTTTATAAGATTCAAACTGACTTTTGTAATATATATTTTATAAGTTAATCCATTTTTGTTTTGATTTATAGCCAAAATGAAACCCATTCATAGCATTTAAAAACTAATTTTTCAATAAATTATAATACTTAACTAGGGCAATGATCAATTTTTTTATAACTTTCATTCTACTAAAAAATAATGAATAAAAGTTATCGAAAGTATCTAATAAAGTAAAAAAAATCACATGATACAAAACTATTAATCGGCAAATATAACAAAGTGTTATGAAAAATGTTAATAATTTTTTAAAAAAATTGATTTAGCGCCTCATCCGGATTTCTCTTACCCATCTTATACATTGAGTTGGAAGTGAGATAGAAGTACTTCTCTCTAAAAGTACACACGCGTAGGAAGCATATTGTTATAACGTAAAAAAAAAAAATTTGAAAATTTATTTAGGTTATTTTGTTTATTATAGTTTGAATATTCGGTAAAAAATTTAAAATTATAGCATTTTAAATTTTAAGGTATATTATTTAATTCAAGAAAATTAGAATTTTCGTCAATTTCGGATTTTAAAACATTCATAACAATTAAAGGGTTAAAGATACGATGATGGGCGCAAAGACTTTTTATTCGAAATATCCTAAAGAATATAAAAAAAATTTCATTGCAAAAAATGCATTTTTTCTGGCTTAATTAATTTTTCGTTGTTTAAACAATAACATCAACAGATATCGAGTGTCATCTTACACTTTTATAATCAGGAAAGCATTCCGGACATTAAAAAAAAAAAATTACGAATTAAAACAATTTTGCAAACGAATGCGTCAGTATGCTCTGGTCTATTTCTTTTTATTATCATAAATAATTTTAAGACATTTTTCACTTATTTATGATAATCGAATTTAATTGAAATAATTTTGTTCATTTGAACGTTCCGTTCTTCAAGTACATACATTCTGTGCTTCTATTAACTGCAGAAGGGTCTACTCAGTCTGCCCTTTACTTTTGGCAGTATGTATGTGCTTTCGGGATGTCCTCTCTTGCATATACTTCCAGCTCAACTTCCTTCCAGCTGCTCAAGTGTAGGATTTTAACTCTGAACCACTCTGACTGTGGAATTTCACAGTCGATTGGTACCATATCTGGTCGGAAGTGAATGCCTCCGAATTGAAGCTTATGCTCCCACCCAGAGAACATTTCTTCCACTATGGATTCCTCTAATAAGGTTTGGTCGTCCGCACTGAGGATAGTCTCAGGGAACCCCTTAGGTAGGATCACGACCCGCTCCGTCTTGACGACAGTTGCATAACTGCCGAAAGCAGAGGTGATGGCTATTTTCCTGTTATCGGTTTTTGCGGTGGTGTGGTGTTGCTCCCTTCCCGCTTTCTTTTACGATCTTTGGAAATGGGTTTGGTCTCATTTCCCTGGAATCTGTGCTCAACAGCTTTCTTTTTCGCTTCCTCTGGTGTCAAGCCCTGCTCAAGGTAGCGAATATTATCACCTATCTAGGATCTTGTAGGGAAAATAATTGTTAGAGATTGAAAATCAATTGTCTTTATTAAAAATCATAGAAATTGCTTTCTAGTCCTCCTCGTTTCTTAAAAGCTCTTGAAAAACCCTCAACCTTGTCCCACTTTCATCGAAATTTTCCAATTCAGCAGCTTCCTGTTCATTGTCAAAAATACCAGTATCGGAAAAGAAGAAATCTTCAGCATCATCATCACAATCTATAGCCAAATTGTGCAGCATGCAGGCAGCTTCAACGCACTTAACAACAAACGGCACGTCTCTGTTTTCGAAGTATTGCAACCTTTGGAATCTACCTTTTAAAAGGCCCATCGCTTCCGGGAAAACTTTTGCCGCCGTTTCGTGACAGCTGTTGAAGAATTGTTGAGCAGGTGTTAGAACGCCAGCAGTTGAGAGGAATGGTTGGACCAACCAAGATCGGCTGAAGTATCTATTAAAACCTGTAATCATATTTAAAGTGTATATTATCAAAAATGTAGAAAAGATGCTTCAATTTAACACAAACATATTTTTTATATCCAAGTTCCCAGTGTTGGTGTACATGGTTTTATCCTCAGATCTTTTCTCTTATCCTTCTACATATATCTTCTAATTACAAATAATGATCCATGGTCAAAGTCAAAACAGATTATAATTATGTCTATACTTTCCTGTACCTATAGGAAAATAAAGGAATCGTGATCTTTTTTGACTTTAAGAGTTTTCAATGATTCTTTAGGTTTTGGGGGTCCCCTGAATTCACCTTTATCATTTTCCCTATGATGTCTGTAGTGATAACTCAAAAACTGATAGAAGGAAAATTAAAATTTTAAATTTAGGCTTCAATCCATCCTGCGAAAAAGCTGATTGTTGGAGCATTAAATAATTTCTGATTAGATGGGCGGTACTCATTATTTTTGATAACCTTACAGGAAAGTCATGAGTTGGACATATCTCAGTATATTATTTATGGAATAATTTAAAATGAACCTAAATTTTAAACTGCCATATATTTCTTAAAAATGCATGTATTTCACCGCGGGTTTTGGAGAGCTCTTTTCTTCGTCTATTAGCAACCAAGCCTTGATTTCGCCATATGCCAATATTGTACAGGGAGTTTTACAAAGTATAAAATTGACAAAATTTTAAAATTGAGATTTGAGAAATACGAGCGTGGAAAAATTAAAATTATTTTAACCGTTGGTTACAGCTTTTCATCTCAGTGCCGTGAAATAAAAAATAAGGATTTTCAACAATCGTTCTTTAGGCAAAAACCCAATGGTGCAGTTATTGTTTGTATGTACGTATTATTGCTATTATTGTGTTATGAAATGTTTTACCATATTGATATATGGCGAGGTTAATGCTTAACAGGTTTTTGAGATTGGTAGCTTTTTCTTTGTTTTTTATCCCCAATAACCCAATAAAACAAATTATAAAAAATCTTTATATTTAAGCTAGAGTACTTTTAAATCACCTTGTATAAATGATTAACAACAACTATAGCTTCACCATCCTTTATTATTAAAAGTCATTATTGAAAAAAAAAAGGCAGTAAAAATTAGTGTTTTTGCCTAAAGAAATATTTTAGAAAAACCTTATTTATTATTTATCACGCACGACACTGAGATGAAACCGATACATGAGGTACTAAAAAGAAAGCTGTAACCAATGGCCCAAAAAATTTTTGACGATCGTATTTCTCAAATCCCAAATTAAAATTTTGTCAATTTTACATAGGTGCACACTTTATAAAATGTCCTGTACTATATTGGCATATGGTGCAATCAAGGCTTGGTTGCTAACAGATGAAGAAAAGAGCTTTCCAACTTCAAAACTGGCTGTGAAATACAGGCATTTTTAACAAATATATGGCAGTTTAAAATTTAGGTTAATTTTTAATTATACCATAAATAATTAATGGACGGAGTGAGCGTATTTTTAATGTGTATACTTTGGATTTTGACATATTCAGGTTTTAATATTTATAAATTTATCTTGTAATTTTAATGCTCTTAATGGATTTATTTTTTTATATTCCTTTTATATGATTTAATAGGTATATCCTCGGGTATATGCTAGGAATGTGGAAAATTGTGTTGACAACAAATCCACATGCTAGCTTGACCTTTGTAGACTTACCAGGTTAACTACACTACTGTATTTTTGTATAATATATACCTTATGGTTATATTACTTTATAAATTAAGCTTTTGTCATCTGTGTTATTGATGTATAATAAATAACAGGTTCTAACTAAAATTATTATATACATACCAACTAAATAATATTCTCCAAACAAATCTTTATCTGCTTCTTCTGGCATGGAAGATTTTTCCAAAATATGTTCAGGTTCATTTGATCCCTCACTTATGTATATGTCCATAAATTTACCATTAATAGTCACAGCACCTAATAAACAATAATATAGAACTGATTTATTATTATTATTATTTGTTAGCCTTGACTTCATAATTTTAATAATTATTTACAAAATCTTACCTTGAAGAGCTACACTGTGAAAATTTTTGGCACACACATAACTATCACCTTTAAATTTGGGAATTTTTATATAAGACACACCTAAGGCGCCTATGCACTGTTTCATATGGCAGACATCTTGAAACATTTTAGAAATATTTGGGTATTCCTGTCTAGAAGGCCACATTATTTCTTCATAAATCTTAGAACTTAAAGTTTTGGTTCCTAAAAGACACAAAAAATTAGAGTAAATAAAAAACTATTAATCTTTCTAATAATGTTTACCTATTTTGATAATATGATGAATACAACTCATGGTTTTTTTAAACCTATCAGACATTTGTTTAAAAGTTTCTTGGTTTCCTAAATACCACAGTACAATATAAGCTGCTTTCTCAGGACTAACTCTTTCCCTGCCTCCTTTATGGTCAGTCATGAAAGGATCTCGAATCATTTCTACAATAATTTTTATTTTAAATAAAGTTATGGGAGCTAGAAGTTTTTATTATAGAATGTAGACATGGATTACAGATATGTGCAGTATCTTATTACTAGGTAATGCAAATTTACTAACCCAATACTTTTTCAAAAGTGCTTCTAGAAACCCTGAAACTATTTTTAAAATCATATTCATTTAATTTTGGTAATTCTATTTCAACATATCCTTCGTTTTTAAATTTCTTAGCGGGTTGTGTTTCTTCAGGACATGTACACTCAACATCATCCTCACTATCACTGCTGCTACTGCTATTAAACAAATGAGAATCTTCTCCAAAATCGGCAGTATATAAAAAACTTTCCTGAAAATTATTTGGTAAAATGGGAGGATTGCATTGTGGAATTTTAGTTTTAACTTCTCAGATAATAACTTACCATGGCAAAGCGATTCATTGTTAGGGTAAGTAAATATTTGCAATAAGTTATAAATCAAAAAGTATATTTTAGAAAATCGTATATTTTGTATTTTCTATAAGAATGTAAACAAAAACTGAAACTTAAAACTTAACCATATTTATTCTTCTTTTTATTAAATTTAAATTGTGACATTGATCAGGACAGGACCGTCTTAACCCATTAGACCCCAGACGCAAAACCTACAATAAAAAAGACGCTTTTTCTAAAAAGTAAAGGCAACTTTAAATAGTTGTACTTCGTCTACTGTTTGGAAATAAAAATTTTAGTTTATAATGCTTTTTTTTGTCTCAATCAGCCATTATCTACAGCAAAATATCTTTATTGATTCCCCAACATGCTAGCGTCTATTTGCCCTTACAGGTCATATTGCCAATTTTTAAATTTAAAAATCGTTGCCATAATAATTTTAAATTTCTTATTTAGGTTTTAAGTTAACAGAAGAGGTATTAAATAAAATAAACGTACATGAGACGAAACGCCTTTATTTTCTAAAATAAGTCAAAATACAATAATATTTATTATGCTCTTTTCACATAACTTTATGACAAACAAAACGGATGAAAGCCACAACATAATCTCACAAACAGAATTGGGTAGGTTACAAGTTTTTGCTAAATTGGCCATGTTAAATTTTTTTACAGCAAAAACAATAACATGATTTCTGTACTAATTAATGACATAGCATTTTCAAAATGATTTACTTAAAATGTATGTAGGTAACTGAATTGATTAATCAATTATTGTAATATTGTAGTCATAGATATACACGTGTGAAAATAAAGATGTACACATATATTACTCTCACCACTATGCAAAATTAGAACACTGCTTGTTGTTTAGGATCATCTAATACTTTTACTCTTTCTATCATTGGTCCTCTTCAAGAATTCATGATACCTAACTCTCTGAAAACATTTCTCTCAACCAATTGGTTCGTCGTATGAACGCTTCCTTTATTGTGTAACCTATTGATATGTGTAATTCACTGATCTTATTGAATATTAAAGGGTAACCTATTATGTTAAGCGGTTATCAATAATTGTAGTCCGACATAATGAAGTTGTTTTTATTTGGTATTGAATTACTTGCGAATACTGTTAAATTTTTTTATGGGGCTTTTGTAAACAGTTACTTTAACAGCTACCTAAATACATAACGATAGTGTTTTTTTAATGATAATCTTGGTTTTCCTATGGTATTAGGTATCATTCACGCAATAAGTGGGAGTAATATGCTAATCTTAATTTTCTTTACATATATTACGTGATCTTAAACAGTGCTGTTGGAATATATTGCCTAACGTTTTCATAAATTTCATCCATTCGTTTATAGTAAATTATTTAGAAATGCAGTTTATTAAATAAAATACAGTAAGTATGGTGTAAAATTTTTCCATGAATTCATTTTTAGCTAGAATGCCTTATAATTTTCAAGAAAACCCCAAATAGAGATTGGATGTTTCAATTATTAGTTATTCCAGCTACAAATGAGCTTTCTTGGTGCACTGTATACTGTATACTTAGGTGATGTGAGATTATATCATCCAATTGGCAAAGTTTGGGTTACCATATAACAAATTCCTCCATATATAATTAATTACATATTTTCACAATATACTATTATTTATATTTATCTAAGGATATCGTCGAAATATTCACTCATTGTTTACTTATTATAGCTCAGATCTGTTTTTTAAAAGGTGGGAGGAGCTTTTAACTAACAGTACTTTTTTTTGATAAAATTCATTGCAATTTTAAAGTTTATAGTCCATTTTCTTCTTTAAATACAAGCGATAAATACATTTATATACATACACATTGTTTATTGACTTTTTTGGTTTGTTCGTTATAAATTATCACTAAAATGTTTGAACAGTATCTATAACACATTACAATGCCAGACTTCTCATCAAGTAATAAGTTTACAATTGCTTTTTTTCATAGAACAAGAACCTTGTCCTGTGTTACCAATATAATTTTATACACCAGCGTCCTATTCCTCAATAGTCATATTTATCTTTTCTTCTTCTTGCAAGTCTAATTTTTTTCATCCAATCAAATATCCAATAAAATCATCAACGTATTTGTATCTTTCGTAACATTCCTTTGCCTTTTTTTTATCATTTACAGTGTTTCTTCGTCGATTAAGCATATTTATGATATTAATAGAAATAATACCTATATCTTGAACAAATACACTAATTAAAAATAGTTTCATAAAGAAGGCACAATTATAGTCAAAATAAAAGTGATTAGTCTTTTTTTTTTGTTATATGAATATTAGCCTCCTTGTTTGTTGTTTGATTTTATTTGTTACCCTATTATGTCTAAATTAATTGTTATTTAGTGATGAGGCTAACTCTGAAAACTGAATAGGTACGTATTTTAGTAAAATTTCCTTTTTTTGCAAGAAATCATCCATGTAGTGACCTGCTTGGTCTATTAGTTTTCTATGATTAAAATGTACAAAATTATTGTTTAAAATAAGAAATTAGACTAAAATTAAATCTTTTGCCTCTTAGTAAATTGCAGCTGATTTAAATAATTAGTAGAACTACTTGAACATGGTTTTCGTAATACAATTTAGGTACCCATTATTTTTTCAGGATATTTTACTCGGTGTATTAATGGCCCAAGTGCTAAAAAACTAAGTTCAAAAATAGCTAAAATCACTTTTTCAAGCGTTAGAGGGTGCCCACTGATTTTATCAACGTGGCATTAGCGCCATATTTCCGAAACTTTCAAACGTAATTATTTTTTAATTGACGTCAGATGACAGTGTAGATTCCGAATAATTTTTGTCAGGGTTTTTTTGCAGTACTACTTAATAGATTGTTGCAAACTTTATAGAACAGTAAATTATCTATAATTTTTAGCAAAATATTTAAAAGGCACCACTTCTTTATAAAACAACTAGACTTGCTATTTTTGAAATTAAAAAGTTACTTACAGGTCATTCATATTACTATTGATTGGACTGTAGCCATATATCCTTAGAAAAATTACATATAAGTCATAAATGTATATTGAGGACTACATCATCTAATTCAGGCCTGCATAACTGAGATTTTCAAAGGGCCAGTTCAAAAACCGTTAATGAACGAGGGCCAAGAGAGTCCTGAGCTTATAAATTTATAAAATAGGTCGAGGTGGTCTGTTCAGATTCAGATTCTAAAAGAGGTAGGTCGAATTAATACCTAAATTCAATTTTGTTACTGAAAAATGTATAGTTTGACGTAGGCGGGCCACACTGGTCAACGGACAAAGGGCCAAGAAAACGACAATGGCGGGCCATATGCGGCCCGCAGGCCGTGTGTTGTGCAAGCCTGATCTAATCAAAAGAGTTTATAAACTTTACAAACAATGAAACAATACAGACTGCATGAGCTTTGTTTTGATCTTAGTCCACGTTTGAGTTTTAATTCTTAGGCTGTCTCTAATGCCCAAAAATAATCTTATGATTTGTTCAACACTTTTGTAAATGCCTAGAATATTATTTTTACAATTATTAAAGATCACAAAATTGGATATTGTTTATTTACACGACTAAAAATCTTTTATATCGGAACAGTCCATTCAATCTTGATCAAAATAGTTAGCATGTAGTGTTTTCTTAAATTACGAATTTCAAAGAAGAAAATGGACTATGTTTAACACAAATTCAAAACCAACAGTTTTATGAATTATTACAATAATGTGAGATCCGGTGTATTAATTCTTCATCTAGCCAGCTGTGTGAGCAGCGGGTGCTGGTGCAGCTGCTGCGGCTTCTGCTCCTGTTGACGGTGGGGGCAGCTGTTGAGGATACTGCATCACTGGTGGTGGAGCTTGTGGTGGTGTATCGGGCATGAATTTCACTATAGGGAGGTAAAGTTTTTTTTAAAGAAAAAGGGTTATAAGTAAAATTTACTCAGTGCATGGTTTATAAGAAGTTGGTAGGTAAAGAAGACGTCATATGTTAGGCAACAAAATTTGATCTTTCCCTCTTTCCCTGAACATGGATTCGATGACTTCAAAGTATATAGATATACAAATCTTTGTTCACCAAGTTGAAGTTGTAAGTTATCTTCATATTTATGAAGTAAACGATTTTTTATTTTATTTGTGTATTAAACATTCCATATGAGCCTTGTGCTTCCTGTCTGATGAGTTCCAAATAGGGCGGTATACTTCATAAATAGTCTTGATTTTTTTTATTGATTTCGTATAACCAGCACTGAGTTCTTTAATAAGGTAAAAGTGATAAATGGTGGTGAATGTATGATAGTTGTTTCCAATATCTATTCTCTTTTACGGAAATATGTAAAATATAAAGTTTAAGTGACTAGTCCAACTACATATCATTAAAAATAAAATGGGGAATGTATTCGCCATTAACTTTTTATTTAAAATCAAGTTTTAAGGTTATATTACTCAGTAAAGTTATGTTAACTAAGTGGCTTAGAAATTTTTTCTTTTTTCTACGAATGTATTGGCTGCTCAAGCTTACAGAAAAAATACAGGAATAATATCTTACAGTAAAAACTTACAGATAATATTAGAGATTATTTCACCAGCTCGAAAATTTCACCAGAAATTTTGAAAAATTCAAGAACATTTTAAAAAAGAATATCTTTGCGTGTAACAATGAATAATAAACAACTAATGTAATTTAAAATTGTGTTTTACTTTTTTTGTTTATTGTCAAATATGAAATAATTTCATTAAAAACCTTAATACAATTTAATGGAGTACATTCTGCAATAGGTAGAGCAATAATGTACAGGGTGTTTCATTAAAAAATAAATTATTAAGATTTGAAATATACTAAACTTCTTGGTCAGTAGGTACATTTAAAGTAAGTATTGTTTTTTAAGAAAAAGCTTTTTAAATAATTTCTCTGTTAGATTAAGTTATAACTTTAATACGACTGTTTGAAACACCCTGTATATTTTACACTAATTATAAATTTTGACCAATTTGAATCTTAATAATCTTTATGTTATATTTTTAAAATCGGTACCTACCGTTTGGTGATGTATATTTTTTAAAGAATTTGTTGGTTAAATCTTCCAATAGACAAATTTGATAAATTCCATGTATTGTGTTAAGTCTGTCTGTCTTCTACTGTTTAAAAAAATGTATTTAATGATGAAAATGTGATGTAATGCAAGCATAAAAAATTGTTCTGTGTGAAAAAATGTAAAAAGTAACGACATGCATTTGAAAAATTACGAAATAATTGTAAATATACCTCGTTGTCTTCTACTCGTAAATCTTCATGTTAATCCTTTTTACATCTACTAAATCACTGTAAAGGAAATAGCCGTGTAAAAGCCACGATGTAAGTATTCACAAAGTGTAAAATATGTGAATGTGCTTCTATTATGTTATACCTGTATCAAAATAACTCAGTAAGCGCATATGTTTAAAGATGTAATTGGGGTAAGTATTGTTTTTCTTTCTTTATTCAACTTAAAAATATTCAACTGCTGAACAATGCTCCATTTCAATACTGTTGCTCCATATGTGATGTAAGATAATTGCTGTAAAATCACCAACAATAAGAATTTGTAAAAAATTGTGTAAATTTACAATAATCACATCAAAGAATTTCGAATTGATAATTAATAAAAGTGGTTTTATATATGTTTATTAACTTACATTAAATAAATCAGAATTACTTTGTTTTTGTAAATTTACAAAATTTTTAATTGAATCAAAAAGAAGAGATACAGTAGTGCCACATGTTTTATTATTTGAAATTTGGAGTTTTCACAATTTTATTAAATTAAAAAAGTTTACAATAATGAAAACATTCTAAATTCGCCAATTACTGATAAAATCTTAGATATTTTAATATAAAGCAATGTATTTAATTTATGCTATTTACATTTATAAACATTCCTCCCTAAGAACAAAAATTATTCTAATATTCAACTCGGAAGAAGTTTTTATTTTTGTTTGCAACTTTCAACCCAATTTTTTACAAAAATCACTAAAATTACTCCAAACATTCCGAAAATTTAATATTTATTACTCAGAATCTTTCATATTTTACACATAATCCCTGATATTTTACACGAAATACCCAACTTTAACATAACGAAAGAAAAAATTAATTACATTTATTTTTTCATAATCATATCAAATTTTACAATGATAATGCTATAAATAGGTACGTTTGTATGAGTATTTTAGTAGTATTTTAGTAAATATAAAAAACTGGGCGGAGTTTTTACATATATTTCTTTAATTTGCCAGTGAATATTACTTAATCTCTATATTATTTACATACAGCGCCTAAACTGTACCATTTCTATAATCAAATGGTACTGTATACCGTGAAATATCAAATATGCAGGACCATTTCTGTAAACGAGAAATATTGATAACTGTTTTAAAATATATTTCATAAACTAACTGATAAATATTTGAAATGTATTTAATTTTTATAAAAATGTTTTTTAGGAAACAAATACCTTTAACGAATCCGAAATTAGTCCAGCATATTTTTGACGAGATATTGAACTAATTAAATTAAAATTAATACCTAACCACACGCGTTTGAGATAGGCAGATGTAGGGTGTTCTCAAAAAAATTGGCAAGTTGTTGTCAAATACTTTAGTAATTTTTTTATTTAGAAATTTTAAAAGATTTAAAATAAATTATAGAACTAAAACTTATTTTCCTTTGGTATTTTTATGGAACACCCAAAAATAACACATCAATATCATGATGACCTATTAGTAAGTTATGCTGTAGTTGTTTAATATAAAAATGAAAAATGTAAACTTTTAAAACATTTTAAAAAACCTGTTTAATTAAAAATATTGTTAAACTGAACAAAATTAAAATGAATTTTTAAAAGAGTTACTCACAGCATTTGACAAACTCAGGGTGGCCATCATTTTGTAATCTTGGTATCTCTTGGTAGTGATCGATGTACTCACCAAATTTTTAAATTTGATTTAAAAATTTGGCCGTTAGTTGTGAATTCGCAATTTTTTTAAAAAAACTAACGATGTGACCTAGAAAATCACTCTAAATTCTATGTAGTCTGCAATTTTACTAAAAAATTTAAAAAAGGGCAGTATAATAAAGTTGTTTATTCTGTTAAAATTATTAGAAATTAATTTTAAAATATTGAATTCAATTTGAAAAGTAAAAATTGTGAACAACAAAAAACTGAAAGGAAAAAAGTGGTTGTAATTTTACACTTTATAAGTAAATTTTTTTTTTATTACACAAAATATATTTTTCACAATTTATTTTTGGCAACTGTAATTATTGTTATTTAATTAATTTTCCAGCAAATTTCTTACAGCATTTTCTTGTGTTTTAAAATTGTAGTAAAGCATACAAATTACAACCATTTTTATTAATCTATTTGTTAATTTTACAAATTTTGGCGAACTCTTTATGTATTCAAATTGCATTATATCTAAAATGTAGTAATTAAAGCTTAACCGTATATTGTTCACATTAAAAGAAAAGAATATACTTCATAAAATTACTAACTAATTTAAGATTCTTGATATTAAAATATGCTCACAAAAATAGCGCAAATAGAAGAATATACCGAATAAAAAAATTAACGATAAAAAATTAAATTAAAAATCACGGCGATTAAAAATCACGCCTATTAAAAATAACGGTGGTTTAAAAAATTACAGCGACTAAAAATCACGGCGATTAGCGATCCTAAAACGTTATTATTTAAAAGGTAATCTAGATTAACCAAATATTTAATTCGTATTGACTTCTTGACTTTTCGGGGGTCTATCACCAAAACTGTGTTAATTTTAAAGTAGAGGCATTATAAGATTTATTCTAAAAATGAGAATTTGGATATACAAGCCTAATAATTACATATATGCATTCAGTTTTCAGTCTTAAAATATTAGTAGTAGTAGAAATAACATCAACAACGAACTACTATATTGCGAATTGTGCAAATATTGAAGTGATATTATTTGGTACCTACCTAGGTGGGTATTTAAAGTTGTTTGAAGGTATGCTGCCTCTTTTCGATGTTCATTATTTTACATAATATATTTTCTTTTTAACACTTTACTCATGAAATGATTCATATATATGGTTATCTATCTAAAAAATACAATTAAACTCTAAACTGTATGAAACGCTATATACAGGGTGTTCCTCAATGACGTGATTCACGTAAATCCTTAAGCATTAAAAGTTTATATGAACATGTATCTGCAACGGCTTAAATTTTTAATTTAACGAGTAAAATGCAAGAGACAATTTGATGTAGAATTGACCAGTCTACTTATAAAAAATATCCACACTAAAAATTGTTTGCTGGATGCCTTATTAACACATACCAAAATTAAAAATAATATCTTCAGTACTTTCAGAGATATTAAAGAAAAATGAATTAATACCCAGTAGCAAAAAATTTAAGTCGTTGTGGACATGTATGTTTATATTAACTGTTTATACATCAGCAAGTCATTAAAGAATATTCTGTATCTATTTACTTTACAGGGTTATAATTAAAACCCTAAAATAACAGTTTAATATTTTTTTTATTTGATGCATTTTATAGACACCTATAAGTAAACCAAAGTACGATACATTTTACTACATTTAAAAATATATCTGTATCTAGTAGAAATATTTTGCGAAATTGTTTAGCGTCTAAAATTTATGCCTAAAAAATCAAGATACTCTGAATGGAGTAATAAATTATTTTATAAAAAAGAGATAGAAACATTTTCAAACGTATATAAAATATAAAAAAGTCTATTCTTTTCTTTTCTTGAACACAATAACTTAACAAAGTATAGCCCTTATAATTTTATATCAACAAAAATAAAAATATTTCGTAATAGTTATATTTTCGTTTAAATA